TTTCCTGCAGCAGAGGCTGGGAACCTGGACAACATGTTCAGGAGTGGAGGCAGAACAACCAGCACAGCAAATTGCACACAATTATACCAGCCAGTTAGGCGATGGATAAACGTAAAGCTATGTTGGGTCCACTGTCCACTTTCTTCGGGGCGGAGCGTATCAAGCGGTAGTACCCTATCATAGTCTGCGGTCGGATCACTGACAGATGCTAGAATGGCATTTGCAGTTTGCTAGACTTCCGGGTCTGCTTCTCGAAATAACAACGAGAAGCCATAGTAATGGCCCCTGCATGGAACGGCTGCAAGGGGGAGAGGCCATCAGGTCATCAGGGGCCTTGACAGGCCGGCTTCGGACATGATATAATAGCTCGGGGCAAAAAAAAAAAGAAATAACCAGTAGTCGATTGCTAGATCGGTCTGAATACAAATACTAACTTCATGCGTGATTATTCTATTTAGCTCTCCAACTATGGATTTCTTACTCCAACTATTTCTTATTGACAGGGCCAAGGGGCCAAGGGAAGTTTATAGCGGCGCTAAGTACCGTAATCTAATGATCGTCCCCTTTACGCGGCAGGTGGTCTACGCATGACGGCCGAGTCACGACATTCGAAATGGTAGTACTGCTAATTCTGTCGTAGGAGCCAGTTTGGGTGGAGCAAAGACTGAAGGAAACCAAGTGGGTTATGCTAAGTAAGGGGGGCGGTTGAGCCTGTGGAGGCGAAAGTACCGGTTCGGAGATGCCCAGAGATGGACTGGATTCCGACTCCATCGCACGGTTTGCTCGAACAGGCAGGCTTGGTTTCGCGCAGTCAGTTTCATGTAAAAGCCACCACCGCGAAGGGTTGTCTAAGAAGCAACTTTATTTAGGGTTACCGCGAGATCCTCGTGCAGGACAGGAAGGCTTTCTACGATACGAGTTGGTCGACCCACCGCAATTCTTGGGCCGCAGTCGCACTAGATGTCAAAACCTACATGTCGACTGCCGATCTAGTGTTTCGGGAAATTGGATACGATCCCCGTCGACCTTAACATTCGCGAATCATGGAAGGATCTGATTTGAACTACCGTTGCGGTGCAGTACCGGACCGTACCCCGAATACCAAGAGTCCCCGACTGGGTGAAAAGTTGAAAGCCCCTCGGAAGGTCTCCTGTCTGGCTTGGACGCTAGATGACGATCTGCTCACCTAGCCATCTTTGGCTCTTGTGAACGGGTCAGAGGATCAGTTAGGGTAATTTTGCTGAGGATCATTGCACATGCCCAGTGGACCACTGCATCAAAGCTTTCCAACTGGGACCTCGTTCTCGACTCCATATTAGACAGCGGTTCCCCTCCGCGAGGCGTTCTGTAGAGGATGAACTTGATCCCACTCTGCTTGGCCCCCGCCCCTACTTTCTCTGGGGATTCATATCACTTAGAATGCTTCTGCGTCGGGTACTGGTTCTGGCCTCGGTGACGCTGGCAGCCGGGGCTGCCGCCGCCAGTACTGAATCCGAAGACACATTACCCCAGTGCGCGGTATGGTGCGGGAGTGCAGAACCCTGAAGTATTCGTGCTGACCCCCTGGATAGGTAACCTGCCAGAGTCAATTAATCGCCGATAATTCAACATCATGCGCATCTACCGACACATCATGCCTTTGTGGCGACGATACATTTCAGAACGACATGACCGCTTGTGTTTCCGCCAGTTGTACTCCAAAGCAGACTCTCCGTATGTCTCTCGGCTTATATCGAAACCTTTATTGGTGTCTAACTGTCTGGCAGTCACCACACGACTCAGTAATCGCCAATGCGGCATACCTCCGCATAAGGGACGTCCGGAACTCGACTCGGCCACATTAATTCCTCTCATTTTTTCTACTCTCCTTTTCGCCAACCGAATTGCCGCCAAATTCATGGGCCTCGGTGGTGGCTGGGGTCCAGACGATTACACTATTATCGTGGCATATGTGAGGCTTATCACCGCTCCCACGCAGATCAGGACTTTTGCTAAGACAGATTTCAGGGCCTGGCCGTAGCTATCTTCGGCGTCAATGCAACGAGTAAGCTCAACAACTATGGATCACAGATATGTTTCAGGCTGACTTTCAATCTCAGTGATCCATTATGGCTTTGGGCAGAATATGTGGGACATAACTCCAATGGACAATATCACCATAGTGCTCAAGGTTTGTTTTTACTTGCGCCCGCCACCGCCTGGCCGCTTGACTGACTATCCACAGTACTTCTTCGCCTTTGTTATATTGTATAAGACGCAAATTTCCCTGGCGAAGATCTCCGTATGCCTGTTCTTATTGAGAATCTTCCAGTCGAAATTGTTCCGCTATGGAGCGTTCACGATCATCGCATTAAATGCTGCGATCGGAATCACCTGGGTGTTTACGGATTCCTTGCGGTGTATCCCCGTTCACCTGGCCTGGGATCAATGGGCGACTGGCGAGCAAGGGACGTGTGTCAACTTTATCGCGGTTACGTTCGTCAACGCCTATGTTAATATCGGAGTGGATACGGTCATGGTGCTCATGCCGGTCTACGAGGTTTTCAAACTGAACTTGTCCGCGCGCAAAAAGGCCGGTGTCAGCGTTATGTTTGCAATGGGTCTTGTGTAAGTCGGGTCGGTCTTCTATAGCACTAATACTCGTACTGATAATGACGGACAGCCTCACTGGTGTTGCAATCGCCCGTGTGATTGTCTTCTGGTTCAACCGCTGGAATACAAACCCTACTGGTATGTACTATCGATCCCCCCCCCATATCAGACCCCTTGCGAACGCATAGGATGCATTCAGCAGTACCGGAACTGACCATACGGTTTCAGTCCAACTTCAACCGATCGTGCACTGGTCCGTCATCGAAGTCCACATCGCCGTGATGTGTGCCTGTCTCCCAACCTTCCGAGCGATGCTGGTCCATATTTTCCCAAAAGTGCTCGGCAACTCCAGCGACCAGTCCTACTACGAGCAGAGAAACACGCCTAGCAAGCCGCCCACATTCGGTTCCACCCAAGCACTCAGCAAGAGTCACATCAACAAAACGGTCTCCTACTCGGTTGACTACGGGGCGAATAAGAGGCCCCAGAGACACAGTTTCGTGCCGCTGGTCGAACTGGATCCACACGACCATTGACTTGGGCGGGGAATTCGGCCACAACCGAAATTACCTGGGAGTTGTGTTCTTGCTTTCATCGTACATTCTTAACTTTTTCCTTTGTTCACTACTATCTACTACTATTCATGTATTTATTATAATACGGGGGGTCCCACTCTAGATGAACGAGCTCATGCCAAAATATCCACACGAAATTTCAATTTTATGCTGCGTTTGCCGGCTTCATCCGAACAGCCCTATTCTTATGCTCCAACGTAAAACCGTGAACCATGGTACCTCATGTCTGGGCCTCTGTTTCACACCCATTTAGCATTCTAGCCTGACGTGTACCACACCACCTATCAGGACATGACATGAGTATCGACCTTCCAGAAGTATCCCACCCGTTGAACACATCACAAACCCTCGCCGGCGCAAGGATCACTGCAGAAAAACCCCCCTAGAAGTCCTCTAGAAACCGCCACCGATGTGGAACCTAGGCTCGCTTAGGCAAAAGTCTGTAGTCTCCTCCGCGGAAAAAAAAGTTAGCAAGACCTTCATTAAACCCTTTTTAAAATAGCAGACGGCCACCGCCAAGTGCCAAGTTATCTTTCTTTTGGGACTAACGAATTCTAGTTTTTTTAGGTGCTGCTTGGCACCAACACAGGAACCAGGCCATTGGTACTCCTTTTTTTTTTTCTCTCAACCCTTCGCTTGTCGCCTCTGACATATTTGCCGATATAGATACTACGTTTGCCATCGTCGGAATATATTTCCTGGCTATTCGCAATCTCTGGGTCGTCGAGTACAACTGGTTCCATGGATACAACCCAACCCGGTGTCCTGTAGCGTAGTGATCTGCACTTCTGTGCCGAATCCATGGAATATACCGTCCAGTGAGAAGGAGATCCCAGCTCCGCCCAACAGACCCTGGAACTGAAAACCAAGGCCTGTCTCTCTGTGCCTGCTCTCAACTGGACGGTGCAAAGGTACGGTACGTACCGAATACCGACTACCTCGGGCACGCTACAGAGTCGAACAAAATCGGATCGCGCTGGTTTCTAGACTCCTGAATATCGCCGGATCGTCTCGGCGATCTCCTTTTTTCCTTTTCTCTTTTTTTTCTACTCTTTTTTCTACTTCTCCTTTCTGCAGAGAATACGGAGTATAGTTGACGCATCTATAACCCTATCCTTGACCGCAAGTTCACGAACTCAATCCTGAGGGTAGACCAGAGGTTAGACAGGAGTCTATTAGATTAGAAGTTAGAATTGACTTTCCGCAATCCAATGCCGGTTAATTTAAAGAGGCTATTTTTGGATGACAGGTCCGATATTAATTTACAGACAAAATTAATTTCGACTTGTCATAGCAATGCACATAAATCCCGGAGATTAAAGCGGGCAGTACTCCGTGTATATCCGCAATTTGGTATTCCGCTGCGTGATGAATAAGGCAGAAGCACCTGAGGCCGAGGCTCGGTGCATAATAGACCCTGATCGATATGCCATGCATCAGGACCGCGGGTTACAGCGGGGAAAAAGACGTCCCTGCTTCCATGGATGCATCAGCCCTTGAAGAGGGTTCTGTTCGATCGTGGTGACGAACACGCTTGGCGGGTGTTATGTTAGGTCAGGGTCCACTTTTTTTTTCCCGAGGCATTGGATCTGGTGAGTACTAAATTATGAATAGATGGATATATTTTGTGTATTCTTTCTATGTGAGTTCTATTGCTGCACTCCAGGTATGGAGGCGATCGTCGCTATTATACATGCATCAACGTTGAGAGGTACGTAAGCGAGGTCGTATCGTAAGGATAGTGGCCTCGTGGAGATCAAAAGTCAGGCATTATGCTAACGTAAATTCATATCGTACAGACGGGACGAGGGGCCCCGATCTAGCGATGAAGGCTTATGCCAGCATCAGGCCGCGACGGACGAGTCCTCGCTTGGTGATGGCACCAGCGTCCGCGAGCGCCTGCTGACGGCCGGGTCCGAAATCCGGGGTGCCGCCGAGGGTGCCGAAGATGTCACCGACGTAGTTCGAGGGCTTGACACCGGCCTTGAAGGTGGAGTTCCAGCCGTTCAGGATACCGGTGACGACCTCGATACCGGCGTTGTACAGGTTCTTGATGGAGGGCTCGAAGCCGCCGGCATCGACGTACTTGAGGTGCTGGAGAGCAGACTCGTCGGGGTGGGGCTGGTCGAAGTTGGAACCGGTGCGCATGATGATGATACGCGAGAAGTCGGTGAGGTTGCGGGCGGAGGTGCGCAGCAGGGCCTGCAGGGTGGCATTGTCCTCCTGGGCGGAGCTGCAGTACTTGCCGGTGCCGTTGGTCCAGACCTCGGTGGTGTTGTCGAAGGCCTCGCTGAGCAGCTTGCCGCTGTAGTAGACGTCCGTGGTGGCGACGTCGCACTCCAGCACGGAGGGCGCCTTGGTGGCGGCTTCATAGCCCTTGGCGGTGTACTTGCTGCGGTATTCCTTCGCGGAGTCGGAGTCGGAGAGGTTGGCCTTCTTGGCGAAGGAGACGGCCAGGGCCCGCAGATCGGCGTTCACCTCGAAGACTTCGGTGCCGTAGATGCTGGTGGGGTATTGGTCGGGGGCGTAGGCGCCCTGGGGGAAGTAGCTGGTGGTGAAGTTGTCGGGGAGCTCGCGGAGGTCGATCTCGTACTGCAGGGCAACCTGGATGGCGTATCTGGCGAAGGTGGCACTGCCGATGGTGGCGACCTTGGGGTTGACACCGGCGATACCGGCAACGAGGAAGTAGGTGTGGGTGAGGTCGAAGAAGGGGTGGAGGGCAATGGAGGACACCGTGATGGCGGCGTTGATCTCTCCCTCTCCGGTAATGAGTTGACAGACGCTGTAGTCGGCAGTACAGTGAACGTCAGGGAAGACAGGCGAGGCACCGGGGATGGTGATGTTGTGAGCCAACAGGTCGAATTCGGGGATTCCCCACCAGGCAGCGGCTTCGGGTTCAAACTGGTAAGCTGTTAGCATTATCTATCTCCGATCACCTCACGGAGGGGGTCATACCATGGACACGATGAACACCTTCGGGGCAGCCTTCTTGGGGGCCTGAGACACGGAGCGTTGCCATGTCGCAGGGCTAGCAGCGGCCAGGCAGCTGCTACCAAGGAGCAAGCCGGCAGTGATGGTGTTGAGAAGCTGCATGGTGAATGACTTGCAGATTCTTTGCTGGGGTTGATCGGCGTCGTGTCAATTGCGCGGGGCAGGCCTTTTATATCCCACGTTCTCTGTCGCGTCTAGGGACCCTTTCCCAATTTTTTTTTTTTTTTTTTTCTTTTTCCCTCCTTGCCTTGTATCCATCGGCAACCGCCGATCAGTGCCGAGAGCGATAGACTACCATATCAAAATGCCCTTATCAGGAAAGATCAGCATTGATAGCGGGGATTAGCTTGCAAAAATCGCGAGAAGAGGCCAATGATATCTCTCATGGGGTCCTTTATCGGTGCTCAGCTCGACAATTCCCACGGAAATGACGTTACTTGGTTACTACGAGATATGGATGCCCCCCACTGCAATGAACAAAATTTGTAAGATATAACGCATATTCTCAGCGTAGAGTAGAGCACGAGTAGTCTGTGCTGGATTGTAGAGTAACATGGCGCGCTTTTGGGATCCGAGATAGAGGAATTGAAACGTAAAAGAATGCTTGTGTTGCTATAGGGTTAGTTCCGAGAGTGTATCTGGCCCACATTTTGCACCAACTTCGAGAAAATTCTTCGGAGGTCGCGGATAGATTTCGATGGGGCTATTCAGTAAAAGACTCATTGTTGTTGACAAACCATTGTTAAATGATTAGTTTCAATCCCACTCCTCTCCATACTCTTCCCCATTTCGACTTCTGGATGACCAGCTCAAATACGAGAATATGCCATTGATTCTTGAACATCTCGGATAATCATATTTCCGCCTTGGTCAAAGATAAGAACTCGAAATCAAAGCTTGGCCGCGTCTCTTATCGCCCGTTGATTTCTACCGTTTATCTCGGGGTATGTTCGGCAAGGCCAACCCCAGCAGGGGTTTAGTGCATCAGGGATACTGAAGGGTCTAGCCTTTTTAGCTTATTCTTGAGCGATGATGGGTATCACGTCAATACTATTACTCTTTTTGGCAGATCAGTAGTCACTGCGAAGTTGCGAGCCGATACCCAGAAGCTAAGAGTAGCATGAACAACGTTGAGGATTTCATCCAGTTTGGTCAGTTTGCATACAGCATATATTGACTCTGACCTATGGATCCTGTATATCGGAGGATCCTGTAAAGCCCTTGTGATCACGTCTGTCAATTTGTCCACATCATCATCGAACATGCGAACTCGCATCGAGACGTGATTGGATTGCAAACCATCCTACTCATAACCAGAGGGATACTCTCCTCTGGTTGTCAGCTTATTGCACTGTTCGGACAAAGATTCCACGGAGCCATCAGCCGGACCAAGTGTCAATGCGGCCATATCATGTATCAACATCAACGCTACATGCTGCATTCAAGGATAATATCTCAGGCGTTGCTTATCACTTTGCAAAGGATTCTAGATGAAAAAGAATCTGCACGAGATAGGCCTCACTGGAATATACATGGGTTTTTTTGGCTGCGTCATGTCTTTACACAAGGTGCCGCATGCACGCAGTAAGCCTATCGTTAACATGTTATCCAAATTAACACACCACCAAGACAATACATACACTCACATACTGACGGACAAAGTTTTGGGTCGAACTAGACTAGTATATCTGATCGAGAAGACAACGCTCTCATGCATTGCGTGCGTCAGATTCCCGAGCCTTCCAGGATCCACCCCCAATTTTAGATAACCATAGATAGTGGCAGTAGAGGCCACGCAAGTAGTACAAGCCAAGAAGTGTCATCGCATGACCGAAAGCAATGACATCTCTGGCTGTGTTGATCTGCAAAGTAGGGCAGATGCATCACACGTCATCCACGTGTGCTCGGGCGGATGACGTCACCCGCCCGCCGTCAGATGGTTTCCAAGGGTTGCGACCCTATATCTCCCATGGGTCCTCCAACCTACTTTCTGTTTACTTCTAAAGAGGTATATGCCTGCCAAAGCGTCTAGAGAGAATACTAGTAAGGGTCACTATACTCAGCGAGGTGTAAGAGAAAAGCACCTCACCCTGCAACATCACATCATACGCCGGAGTTAGAAGGTCTTAACGTCATCAAGGTGAGTATGGACATCCATCTCTTGTGCTTCATGTCTGCAACTGAGATTAACAGTTAATTCAGTAACAATGGCTCCTATCCACGAACGTATCCGCCAGGATCTCCTTATCAAAGAGCGCAGTCTGTGGACCGCTCTCACCTCCGCTGACCCAGGCCCCGAGATCGAGAAACTGTCCAACCCCGAAGCCAATCTACTGTTTCCCCAAACACCCATCTTGACGTTGGACGGTGAACCCTCTCTACAACAAACACTAAAGCCACCATTCCATCATTTTGATGCGTTCGAATTGAAGGAAGTCCGAGTTATCATCATTGACCTCATGGCGGGAACCGTTACCTACAATATCAATGCCTCGAGAGGAAAGGAGCAGTATCGGGCCACAGGATCAACAACATGGAGTCAAGCGTCGGATGGGGAATGGAGAATCGTGGCGCATACAGAGACCATGCTGTGAAGTTGTCTTAGTGGGAGGCATTTTGTTCAATGATCTCGTTTCTTATCTATGTCCTTTAATTCCTTGATAAAGCTTGGCTTGTATGAATTTATGACCCTTTGAATATACCAGAGGATGATAACTATTGATTCTATATTATCGTTCGCACGTTAAAGTTGCTAATGTGCATATATACACCCGCTATGTAGAGTCTGGTGTGTGGGGTTGGAAGGCTCGGCAATTCCGAGCTTGGGTATTGTTCTACAGCAAAATGGAAGCAATATTCCTTTATTCAGGTTGACCCTGCTATTTATGTTACTTTCCAGGAAGGACAGAAAACTGATATACTATGAATGAAGTGCCTTTCATCAACAAGTCTGTCTGACAAAGATCTGAGAAGTCGCATCCTTCATTTAGGAAGTACGGATGAATTCTCTTACCACAAGGAACATTCCTGTTTTCCTAACATGATCCATTTGCCTATCAATATGAACCTCTGCACTTTTTCCCCCTTCTCCTTCGCTCTATCATCGTCTCTCTCCCATAATTATAGCCCGAAGCACAAACATGAAAACTAGAATCTACTAATCAAACAACCATGATGCTTCCTTGAAGCCGATGATCATGCAGGACGGAACAACAATGCTTCACAAGATGATTTCTACGACAGACCGAATAACAATGCACCAAGTAGATCTCACGAAGAGTGGCTCAAGTACAAAGGGCCAGATCTATTGGGGACGTGAACTCAATAGTCAGAGAGTGCAAAAGTTTTAAATTGGCTATTGATGCTGAAGGTAACTCGGTAGTAACAATGATCCCGAAGAACTAAACCAAACACATGAATGAGTGTCCTTATATATCGATCCTTATCGTGACTTTGACTCATGCTGTCTTGTCGTAGCTACAAGGCTGTCGTGTCGCTGTTACGATGCACGTGATCTTGGTGTCGCTGGAAGTGGCCGTCATTTATCCGTCTCGATGGATACTACAGGAAGTTGATAGCACGAAGCATTGATTACAGGACGACGTGTCGGGCTGCTATACCTAAGGTGGCGGAGCTAACCAGAACAGGGAATTCTCAGGTCTTCGCTTCATATATCAAATTCTATCCACGTTCCAAGCAGAGCCCCAAGCGGATGAGTTGCAGAATATCTGCCTAAGAGAACAGCAAGAATAGAACAAAACAGCCAAGCCGGCTCTGTGAAAGGCTGATTAGCTCCAATCTGAAACTTGTCAGGGCTCTGAACGGGCTCTCAGTCAACTCTTGAAGGTGATCTGACTAGATATATCAAAACCATCTTCGCACTCGTAACTTCCAGCATCCTTGATATCGCCACCTTTATATACCGAAACAAGAGGATATGGACACAATTTCCTTCTCCACCCTGATGCAGAGACTGCCTCCAACGTGTCAGGTGCAATACCGTTTTCCACCCAATCCACCACGTATTGTAATGGATCAATAGGGACAGGGCCCACGCCGCCGCCACAGTGGTGAACGCCTGGAGCTCCAAACAGACGATAGAAGTCTGAGACAAGTGGATCCTTGTCTTCCACCTGCTTGTAGTACTGTTCCGTTCCTCTAGGGGGGATCAACTGATCCGAGAGTCCATGCCAAGTGATCATCTTCCCGCCTGCATTCTTAAAGGCCATAAGATCTGGATTAGCTGTGCCCATTATATCATCAAAATCCTCTTTAGAACGGGCAAAGATAGCATCGAGCCCTGCATGGTCTAGCGCGGTCAAGTTGGCGGATGGATTGTGTAGAACTAATCGGCTAATCCAGTCCGTAGCTATAGGAAAAGGCGCACCGGTACAGTTGAGTGCTGAGCACATGGTATGCACGAGACTTGACTCTCCCATTGAGAGTGGAGTGCCTTTTTCAAGTCCATACCATAACAACAGGCCATCGGAGGATACCATCCCTGTCCAAGTGCTTTGTACCACAAGAACATCATTCTCAGAAACAATCACAGTTTCACCATTGCAATCAACCGTAGTATTAACCAAGACAAACGGGTCAAACTCACAAAGTTCTGGCAGGGAGATAACGCTATCCAGAACCCCGTCGATCTCGTCGCACTCTTTGATTGCTGCGGCAGTAGTAGCATCGGTTATACAACTGGAGGGCCAGGTATTGAGCCGATTCATAACAAATTGCGGCCAGAACTGGGAAACCACAAAGCTAGGCCAATTGACCCCTGGTGCAACAGCTAAAATCCCATTGTACGCAGATGGATATCGCTGCGCCAGCATTAAGCCCTGTCTGCCGCCTGTTGAACATCCATTCCAGTATGAAAATCGCGGTGCCTGACCGTAGAAGCTGGTCGTTACCTGCTTCCCGATTATAGCGGCATCGTTTAGCGCGAGATAGGCGAAATCCTCGAGTAACGCTATGTTTAAATTTCTTGATGCATCCAGTGACCATGTTTCGGAACTGAATCCATTCACCTCGTGGCCGCCATCCGTCGCTGCCACTGTGTAGCTTTGGGCCACGGCTGCTGCAAGAACTGCATCTTCAGACCTCGCTGCATATCCGCTGCCACCTGAGCCTTGTAGTCGATGGTTCCAGTTTTCGAGGGGCAGCCAGACGGTGACGTGTATAGAGTCATTACGCCCAGGATGGGTATACGTGACAGTCACGTTGCAGAAGTCAATTTCTGAGCGATCGTCTTGGTGATAATTAAGAACGGGGATGGCGCTGAGGTCAAGTATCTGTCCCCCAGGTATGGATGGAGGAGAGATAACAGCCAACGAACAACTTCCAGCTTGAGGAGCACTCGGTGTGAATGAGCTTGCTATAGCCATTGGAGGTAACTTGTAGTATAACATGGCGAACCTGGCCAGATGAATACTATAATTTACAGCTCGCCGTTCGCGCAGGGGGATATATATCGCAGGATACAATTGAATGGAGAAATACCACTCCCCACCGAGCGCACTTGTAACACAGGTGTCAATAACGGTAGAGTTAACTCAGTTAGACACGCCGACGTGTTTGAAATTTCAATGTCGGCCGAGAGAAGGCATGAGGTACGTCGCGATTGCTGAGGATCCTATACTTCAATTGCGGGCCATTTCATGTAAACAGCACGCTCCCAAAGTTCACTGCGTTCTTCGCCATGCAGATCGACGGTCTTTGGCTGGCTGTCTTAAGACTCGGTGTCCAGGGCATTACTAATGGGAATTGGAAAGCTTGACCAGATTCTCCAAAACGGTTAGGATGTATTATAAATCTACTTTTTTATGGTGAGCTGTGATGGAAATAAACACCGAGCGGGATTTGCTCGGGACTTGCTTTATAATCAAGTTTGAGACATCGCCTGTCTCTCATCATGGGAAAACTCCCTGGATGAGGCTCAGACTGGTATATGTATGGCAGGGCATGTGTATAAGAACGAAGATAGAACGTCTTACCTTAAAGGCGTACAATATGACATTGGATGAGTCCGACAGAAAGCTCACCAAGCTGACTACGAACAGGCTCTAGAAATGGGGATTGTTGATTAAAAGATAATACTGACGTGGAAAACTCTGGGCCGTGCCTATACGTATTGGTAGCCTTTACTTTCATGAGTTCTTGGTTATCACATTAGCAGAATTGGACCTTCTGCAACATCTTAATGGTGGTGGGAGGTATTATTCGTTAGCATTTGCTTACATGCAGGCTGCGGCAGCTGTTAACCAGGTGCGGAATATTGTCAAACGGACATTACGATAATTAGCCGGGAGATTATTGGTGTTTTCTCACTCGAGATGGGGGAATTTCTTCCACTTTGCAAAAAAAAAAAAAAAAAGATTATGGGAATGCTGCGGATTGAGTGTGTACCTGGAAGAGATATTCGAAAGTGAAAAGCCACCACGTGGATTCATAGGCATGTAACCTATTCACTAAGCTTGAATAGTGTAGACAACCTTATAACCAGAAATCTTGCTATAGCGGTGGTCCTGGAAGCCCTGTGGCACGGCGTCAAAGTCTTATCGTACATGCACGCTGTTATGTTTGATACTCGCTTCTTCTAACCATACGGACAGCATCGAAAACAGCTCGCTCACCAGCTCACGATCATTCTTTCAGGCCTGTGCATGTTGTATATCAGTTAGTGAGGTTTTATCAAAGGAAGATCTTCACCAAGGTGCATAGTGATGTACTGGATACCGAATCTTGCCATAGTAATGATCCTTCGAGAATGCATCCCAAACTAGCACATCACCGAATTGAATACCTTCCTTGACTGTCTCTGTATTAGGTTTTCCCGGCCGGGTCGTGCAAAGATATCCTCCCCTACTTAAAGTCTATGAGCCTGGAGCCTTTTCTTCTGGTATTACGGTTTGTCGACAGACATTCTTCGGTCGCCTGATTCAGGCTGGCAAGGGCATGCACCCAGCCATGATGCCATGACCATCGGATCATCACATATTATTTTCTTTTAAAAAGACCAGAAATAACTCAAAAGTATTAGCCAGTCTAAGGACCAGTTGGTCTGCAGGTTGAAAATTTTAACCGATGGGAGCTTGCGGTGAGGCATCGTCTGGCCCGAAGCCCGCATGCTGTCTTCGGCCTTCTCACCGAAGACCCAGAGTGTGCCAGTCACTGTGTTATGGATGCAGTGAGATCAATTGGAATCGGTCGTTCATTGGGCCTTCCATTCATCTCCGTGTCACGGTATCGAAAGTTCGTCAGAAGCTCATAAAAGCAACGATTGGTCCCCATTATTCCTGCACTCATCATGCTTTCAGTGTTTGCTACCTTCGCCTCAAGATCTTCACAAACCAGTCAAAGAAGAAATTATTGATCGACCTACGTACGCACTGCAACGGAGGTCCGGAAGTATAGTCTTGTCCACTAGTGCCATGTTTGCCTTGAGTAATGGGATCCAGATCCCTGCAGTGGGATTTGGCACCCTCGCTAGCGAAGGTGCCAAGGGCGAGACCTACCGTGCTGTCTCCCACACACTAATAGTTGGGTATGGGCTGTTAGACTGTGCCTGGTTCTACATGAATGAGCAGGAAATTGGAGAGGCTATCAAGGATTTCTTAACTGTCAACTCTAGCGTTAGACGGGAGGATGTTTTCATTGTCACGAAGGTCTGGAACCGTCTCCACCAATACGAGGACGTGCTGTGGTCTATGGAGAGCTCTTTGCAGAAGCTGAAGCTCGGCTATGTCGACATGTTCCTCGTTCATTGGCCCATTGCTGTCGAGAAGGAGAATTGCGAAACCCCTATGCTGGGACCAGATGGAAAGGTATGGCTTCCCGACGACCCCCTATCCCGTACATGTGACTAACAGGGGAAGTATGTGTTTAACCGAGAGCTCACGGAGAACCCCGAGCCAACATGGAGGAATATGGAGCAACTTTACGCAGAGGGCAAGGCGCGGTGCATCGGCACGTCTAACTGGGCCGTTGCGGGCTTGGAAAAATGGTTGAAATTTGCAGAAGTAAAACCCCATGCGAACCAGATCGAGATCCATCCCTTCTTGCCCAACAATACCCTCGTGGAGTATTGTTTCGACAGCGGTATCCTTTCCATGGCATTCTCCCCTCTAGGCTCGAGCTCACCTTTAAACGCATTTACCTTTCAGACGAAGCTTTCAATGCAATCAAAAAGGTCAAAGAGGGACGTCATTACCGTTTCGTTAACATAAATGATATATTCGGCTACGATGTTTGGCCGGAGGAGTCAGCCTAAGTGCGTGTACACTTGTGCGCTTGGGATAATAGGCCGAGAATGTCGATGATGACGCTACCGGTGTGTGACGAGTCCTGCACATCTTGGGTCTCTCATAGACACACTCGTGGCTTTGAATGTTAGGTCTATAAAGTCTTACCTTGTGTGCTTGGCAATTGAGTAGCTTCATAAGCTGAATATTTTGTAGGAGAATCGTACTCTAATTGTATTTTGTGTGCTGGAGCAGGTATCCACATTCCCTTCAGCCTGTATCGTTCTCATTGTTATGTGACCAAAACTGAAAGGGATGTGGTGTCGAGCCACCAAGGGGACATGCACACTTGCCCTCGACATGGAGCACAGCCCCTAGCCTCCAATAGCAGATCATAAGCGTGGCCGTAAGGGGGAGAGTCTAGAGTACTAGAGACCTGGAAGTTTGGGGTGGATCCCAAACGCCCGTGTCATGCTACTCGCCGGAACGAGCGTGTCCGTTGCTGGAAAAGATGCACTTTTTACCATGTTCAAATCCCGGTGCAAAGGCCGTGGACAGTCTCTGCCTTTCCATGGTTCTGAAAACTAAAATAACATGAAATAAACAACCCTAAAAATAACAGGGGCTCTCATTCGGCGCGATCAGGAAGATCGAATCAAGTCGTTAATTAATCTCTCCGCACTAGAAGAATCACATTAAGTCATAAAATCATCATAGCAATTATCCTTGAGAAGGACAATAAACTATAAAAGCACGGTTAGTTTCGTCTCTCCGGATGGTATTATTCACTCGAAGACTAGGAACCGTTATCGACTTCGTGAAAATCCGCAAAAGGAAAATAGAAAGCACATCTGGACAAAATGTCCCTCCCGACTACCACCAACCTCTGGGCCGTGCACGGTAGTGCCCCAGGTGCTGGATTAGGCGCCCTGAAGTGGAAGAAGAACCAGGACGTCCCTAAGCTCCATCCTCGCGACGTACTGGTGAGATTGCGCGCAGGATCATTGAACTACCGTGACATCGTGAGTAAGTCAGGAGGAACTTCCCAGGCCTTGCCCTTCCTCGTTGATCCCACTGACCTCTCGTGCAAACAGTTTGCCAAGGCACCTATCCTCGCAAGCTAATCGACGGCGTCGTGCCCGGTAGCGATGGGGCTGGAGAGGTTGTTGCCGTCGGGTCCGCGGTCTCCCGCTTCAAGAAGGGGGACCACGTGGTGACAACCTTTTATCAGGACTTTTTTGGCGGACCAGCTCCGACGGAGGCGAACTCGCAGAAGGCCCTGGGCGGCTCTGCCCACGGGACCTTTCGTGAGTATGGAGTTTTTGATGAGCATGGGCTATTGCCCCTCCCAACCAATCTCAACTATCTTGAGGGTGCGACACTTTCCTGCGCTGGGCTCACGGCGTGGAACAGTTTGAACGGGCTACAGTACCTGAAGCCTGGAGACTGCGTACTTACCCAGGGAACAGGCGGTGTGTCCCTGTTCGCCATTCAGTTCGCGTTAGCAACCGGTGCAGTCGTGATCGCCACGACGTCCTCAAACAGTAAAGCTGGAAAGCTCCGGGAACTTGGTGTCCATCACATCATCAATTATCGGGAAGAGCCTAATTGGGGCGCTAAAGCAAAGGAGTTGTCTCCAAAGGGCCTCGGTTGTCAGCGGATCATAGAAGTCGGTGGGCCGAAGACGATCAAACAATCATTACAGGCGGTAGCACCGGGTGGCCACATTGCCATTGTTGGATTCCTGACGGGATTTGAGAAGGAAGAGGACCATCCTTCGTTCCTCGAGCCATTCTCGCGCATGTGTATAGTGCGTGGCATTGAAGTCGGCAATCGGACGCAGTTCGAGGAGATGATCACTGCCATTGAAGCTAATGACATTCACCCCGTCATTGATCCTGCTGTCTTCCCTCTCGAGGACCTCCCGCTGGCATTCCAATATCAGTATGATCAGAAGCATACAGGGAAGGTTGTGGTCAGCATTGGGTGAAGTTGTAGTGGGTATATTGATCCCGAGAGGTGCTGAAATATCGATTGAGTGAACCCGGGGTTTTGTCGTCAGTAGAAGGCCATGAGAAAGACTGAGTGTGTAATCTAGATATAATTAAATGTACTAGGTTGACGAAGCGTTTTTTCTAGCGCAGGGCTTTTCCAGGGGCTTCTGTTGCTGCTACACCTCGTAGGAAGATACAGTTGTCAGAGTATGGAAGTACCTAGCGAAGTTGGATTCCACCATCTTCGATTTACAGCTACGCAAGCCCAGGCCGCTGTTGGGCTTCTTAGTCTCAATAATTTCTACGACCTTTTGCGGCTGGAATGTTGCCAATAGGCTTTCACATGTTGCCAGTTTCTAGATGCAAGAACATTCCTGGGTGGATCCCAGGAGCCAGATAGGATTCAATCTGTAAGCGGCCCTTTAGCCCTAACCTGGCGGTCGGAAACTAACAAGAGCACGCCTTAGAGTCTGTCTTTATCCTATACTCGATCGAGACTCAGAAACTTCCCTGAAAAACACGAGAGATGGTGACATGGGAATTATCTACTGTGAAGTTATACATTTCGCCTTTCAGATGAAGGTGAAGTATTTCCATCTCTTGCCTTTCTCTTAACACATAGTATCGTTTGAACTGTAAAGGACGCAAGTCAAATGAATCAGCTGCCCGGTAACGTCTGTTTGGCGGCGGGTGAGTCCGGCAGCAGGTGAAAATAGTATGAAGCGGGTCCACTTGAGGAGCTGCTGTTATACCCCAAATCGGAGAAGACGGGCTTTGTAAAGGTAGATTATCCATTCTGGTGGCCTTTGGCCTTGCTCTTAGTCAATGTATTAGCTTTATAATGACAAGCCTCACGCCTACACTGCCTTGTCCCCGACACGAAATATGAAGCCAGAGCTACATATCTCCATCCTGCTTTCAAATGGCTGCATCTACTGACACAGCCCAAATGACAACCATGCTCAGTTGTCCATGCTCGAGTGCCTGCGAGCTAAACTCCATTGGATCTTTTACTATTCCCCGGGGTGCCTCCAATGACGATATAGCCGCAGCAAGACGAGACTTTTCTCAGCGGGAGATCGAAGATATGATTATTGAATTAGACACACCGCTACCTTGTCCAACGGCCACCCTGTCCTGCAGTGCAATCCAGTCGGCTCTCCCTTCCCCCCCGGATGTCCAGAAATACGCGTCCCCCCTTCGGTGGCCCAAATGGCGCAAGTCGATAGTGACATGGATTTCATGCGTGGTGACATGCGTGGCATGTTACTCTGCTGGTGAGATGAGCCCAGCATCAGCAGAGCTAACAGCGGAATGGGGTATCACGTTGACAACCTATAATTCTGCTGTTACGGTCTTCTGTATTGGGTTCGGTGTGGCACCGATGATTCTAGCTACGTGTTCTGAGATCAATGGGAGAAAGCCAGTATTTATTGGCAGCGGGATTATATTCTGTGGTACACGGTAATGCTCCTTGACCTTGACCCATACAGGCTAATGCAATGCAAAGCTTCCACCGTCGCCTGTGGTGGCACTCGTGTATTTGCCGGTCTTCTGATTGCCCGGCTGTTCCAGGGAATAGGCGCATGTACGTTTATCCTCCCGCTCCTATTCTTCTGTCGGACACCCCTCTTACCTAGAAATTTGCAGCGACCTTCTCGACCATGGTTGGGGGTGTTATTAGCGACATCTACAGCACAGAAGAGCGAAACATCCCGATGGCGCAGTTTTCGAGTGCTGCATTGCTGGGTACAGGACTCGCGCCACTTCTCAGTAGCGTTGTTGTCTACCATTCTACCTGGCGCTGGGTGTATTACTCTCACGCTATTGTTTCAGGCTTCTGTGTTGCGGTGATGTTTCTGTTTTTCAGAGAAACGCGCAGCACTGTTCTTCTCCGGCGAAAAGCAGATGCATTAAACAGATATTATGAGGAGCTCGAGCATCTAGGGTACTATGGAGTTATCTTTGAGGGGACGAGTGAGGTAAGACGAATCCGATGGAGACCAAAGGATGAGGAGCAGCAGTATTCGTTCCGACAAATGATGAAAGTCTCCTGCTACCGTCCATTCCGTAAGTGATAGGCACGGCCCAACTAGTCATTAGCAGACCCTGATCATTGTTAGACATGCTCGTGACCGAACCGGTAGTATTTTTATTTTCTCTCTGGTTATCATTTGGCTGGGCCGTGCTGTATCTTCAATTCAGTGCTGTGCCGCTGGTTTTCAGGACCAACCACAACTTTAGTACGGAACAGATCGGCGCTGTCTTCACTGGTATGATACCTACATGAGCCACTTCTCGCTCGCACTTGCTTTCATCACTTACTGACATTTTTCTTTTATTTTTTAAATAAAAAAGCTATGTGTTGTGGCGTCATCATCATAACAGTTGTGAGCATATACCAGGAGCGGATCGCTAATCACTTTGGCCTGCTTCCCAAGACACCTGAAGCTCGCCTCTACTTCGCATGCCTACAGGCGGTACTCGTGCCTGTAGGTCTGTTCTGGTTTGGGTGGACCTCTTTCCCTTCTATCCACTGGATCTTCCCTACCATGGCCATCGGATGTTCAACCATGGGGATATTCTCTGTTTATCTGGCGGTTTTCAACTACCTAGCTGACGCATATGGTCCATATGCAAGTTCCGCAATTGCAGCTCAGTCCTTTTGTTTGTGCCTCCTTTACTCAGTTAGAGAAGCCCTCCTACTAAGATTACGATCAGGTCGGAATCTCCTAGGTGGTATCTTTCCTTTAATCACCGATACGATGTTCACGAATCTTGGTTACCCCGCCGCCTCAAGCCTCCTCGGGGGGATAGTAAGTTATATCTCTCAGCGAGGATACGCCACAAGTTCTAACAAAATACAGGGTGCTGCCCTGACCCTTGTGCCGTGGGTGTTAGTTTTTTACGGTCCAACTATTCGTGCCAAGAGCAGAATAGCTAGTGTACGTTTGACTTGTCCATCGGTCAATCAATTTACACTAACCATTGAACCTAGATTATGGCCACTTGAGTATCTGGAGAGCACATGCCTACAGCTGAAGGGATTTTCGGCTTGTTGGGCTATGCTTCTCCATAGAACGTTTTCCACCTATAGACAGATTGATAACCATTACCGAGGTATTCGGATCGTGTATGGAATTTTTCTTTATATAGAATGACACTAGCTTTCCTTGTAATCTCTACCATCAATTCCTCCGCGTGGATACTCCGCATTTGCGCTGTATTTGTTCGGACCCTTGAGTTCCATCTGGCTTGGAGAACGGTAATTCTGCTGGGCTCCTTCGCCTTTCCAGTTCCCTTTGGCCACTATGACATGCCTTCCTTTATTTCAGTGGTCTACGACAGTCGGCCAGAATTGTCATTTCTTCCCTGATGGATGGACGGGCTCATTTGCCCGAGTCCAAGAACCCTGTAGAAAAGTGGTTTTATAGAAGTGGAGCCAAAGCGACACCGGGTAAGCAGTATCCGGACATGAAAGCATCTCGCCGGCTGGCTCAGCCACACTTTTCAGTGGTTCAAGTTTTTCTAGCCCGGATAATGCTTACCCTGTTGGACAAAGGACCAGTAAAAGCCGTCTCTTGTGTTCCAGTCTCCATTTACCTTTTCGACCTGTGGGTCTGGATAATGCTTACCCGTGCTGGGCGTGCCCTATCCACTCACCATGCTAAAGACGAGGACAGTAGCCAGTCCTTTCTCCTCATTGTTCGCGTTCAGTCAGAGCATATCGCTTGAAGATTAATGCCGTCATGCCATGATGTCAATCGCACTCACGCAACCCTGGTTTTGCCATACTTTTTTTCTTTTCTTTTCTTTTCTTTTCTTTTTTGCTAGTACTCTTAGACGGCCCGCAGGTACGGACGAAACTCAAGTCGGCCGAGAGGATAGAGCGCATTCTAATGCGGTTAGGCACGACCTCTTCGTCGTTCGAGCGTATGGATGGGGAAATGATCTCTGACTACAACCAGTATGCTTCAATTATTGACTAAGCACATCTGAATTTCATGCCCAAGCTACAGGATACAATTTTAGTGACTTGAGGTGACTTATAATGGAAGATGCGGTTAATTCGTTGCATGTTTCAGTGGGGACTAGACCGAGGAGAGAACCTTGCCATGTCTACAAGGGTGGTTGTAGATCAGGCTGGTACCATACATCGCTAAAAGTTGTATATTCGTCCCATCTCGGAACTGCAAATGTGCACTGGGCAGCGCTCATGATCCATGGATTCATTTGAGCGTCTGCATTTGCATGCCCTCTGTCCTCCCCTCCGGCATGGTGATCAGTCTGTATTAGCCAATCTAAATTATCCTCAAGCAAGGAATCCATCGCTATGCTATACTCTGCTTCGTATCTGTTCGCCTCCACCTCTGGAGGGCCGGTGAGGTCACTCACCGGCATCCCTCGGGTGGATTCAGCGAGACCTAACGGCTCAAATGATGAAGGCCCCAGGGATTGCACTTGAAAATTGCACTCAGTTGCCGATGGGGTAGCCCTGGCTAGATTCTCGTCCCTGACAGCTTCTGGAGTTAGCCATTCGTACGCAAGAATTCTGAGGGCGCGAATAGCCCGGCAGCTCCAACACCATGCAGCACTCATGCTCTCAAGAGCGTCTAGACAGATTCGTAGATTAGAGATCCCTCGGCGACGAACAATAGGAGTGGTGGACATAGCGTCCATCAAATGTATAATAGCAGCCGTGAAGGTGCTATGCACGGTGACAATCGGAATAAGGCGCTATCCGGGGAAGGGGGGAGAAAAATCAGCCTGTGAACAAGACGTGTGGTAAGAAGCTTACCAAGGTGTAATGATCCTGATATGTGCGCAGCAGCTTTGTGACTTCCAGAGCTGCGTGTCTGCAGATCTGCAGATGTACGTTCGACTCCTCTGACGAATCCGACAAAACTCGAGATAAAATGCGACGTTTCGCGATGAGAGGACGATGTAGAAGGATCTGAATGACATTGTATTGAATGCTGCACACGTTTTTAGGATCTCTTATATTTCACAACGAGCTCAGGAGGGCTTACTGGAGTTGGTATATGTGTGGAAGGCACGGTGTTCGAACCGACCCTGAGAGCCGAAGAAAACTTGGGAGGTCACGGTAGAAGTTGTTCAACGCAAGATCAGTTCGGGTGACTATACTCTCTAATTCGCGTCGTTTGAGTTCACCGTGGGGCGCATACCTGTGGATAAGAGGGTGAGTACAGCGATGGCAACCAACAACCCAGTCTCAGAGCCCGTACACTATATACAACGCCTCTGTCGCTATATCCAGAAGTTCAGATACATAACTTGACGTAGAGGCGATCCGTACAGGGGTATTCGCCAAGGTCTGATCTCTCGTGGACCATGGGATCCAAGGGTCGAACTCAGCAGTTTGGTACTTGCTTGGCTTTGGGCAGGTTATATCGCATCGTCGTGTCATTCCCGGGCGTCCATGGCCAAGGCTAAATAGTCTAGACAGAATCAAACTTGTTAACTTCCTGTCATCATAGTCAAATTCTACCACTTACTTGTCTAAAGTATAGCAGCCCCACCAGGCAACCTTTCGAACTTCAGCCTCCAACCCAGAGATATGTGCTGTAGGCACCCAGCTTGAGCAGTCAAGATTGAGGCCTAGATTGAACGCCATTCTCATTGCCATACCTGAGAAGAATCAGCAATAGACCAGGGTCACTATGTACATGGGCACACTGACCTACGAAGAGCCAGCCGAGAGATTCGCGATCTTCGGCCATGGCATTCAGCCCCAGTAACACCGCCGCTTGGACAGTGGGCACTGTCGGAGCTTCCATTCCCTGCTGCAGTAATATTTTTGCCTCGCGTGCAAAGCTCTCGCCAGCAGTTTTAGGATTAGTAAGAACAGCTCGAACCTCGCAGCGGTCAGAGTAGCGAGCTGCCAGAGCAAAGATAGCTAGGAGAAGCAAGGGAGTGCAATACTTTCCCGAGCGATGAAAGGTATAGTCTTGCATGAAAGCGTCCTTGTGTACAACATAATTCCATGGGTTCTGCCACCTCCAATACAGGTCCAGCAAGTGGTCCTGAAGCTCTTGTGGTATTCCCTGATTATTGTTGAATTCTGTGATAGGGCTGAAATCACAGGCGTTTCTGAGAGCAAGCGGCTCGACGGAGACTTCATGGATGCGGCCGTGAAGCAGGCTGTAGTTACTTAGGGTTCCAAAGTACCGCAACTCACCATTAGAAGTGAGATTTAGGCGAGCGGTCATCCCACTGATTTCCGTTAGTGGGTCAATCCGGTGAGGTTCGTTGGCATCATCCTCCGTCTCTCTATCGCTTTCGGCCCCGGCATCGGCAAGATTTTCAGGCGCATAGGGAACGTCTCTCCCGAGAGACAATAGTTCCTGCTCGAGCAGATCTATGCGAGCCTGAAGAGACCGCACAAGTTTCTTGCTTGGTGGTCTCGCCGATAGACCTCAGTCATGAGCAAGTAGAAAGTTCAGGGGTCAGCAAACTCACTTGCGCTTGCTCTCGGTGTGCTGATATTCGCACGTCACGTTTCGTTGCTGACAAGGACCGCAGCACGGCTCGACACCATCGCACTAGGATCGGCCGTTAGACCCTATGGCTACAGAGTCTTTGCACAGTACGTTGCTCACTCGAATACGTTTCATCCGGCAAAGCACACATGCCACGGAAACTCTTTGCCTGGTCTTGGATGGGCCGGACGCATTGGCCATGGCAATGGACATGGTTTAGGATGCAGTCGTCGTATTTCCCCGTCGCTTTACAGATCCATGAGATCCGCTGATTGCGTGTCAACTTCTTCCACTAGGGCTACAAGCATGGGGGGGAGTCTTGCGACCGATGAGAAAAGCCCGCCAAGATGCCATCGGGATTTGCTTTCTAGGCCATATCATGACGTAAGCGATATCCTCTTACACCCTAACTAGTTACTTTTTCGGAGATCCAAACCACTATCATACGATGGTGGGCTTCGACCTTCTCAAGCTGGCTGCTAGAAACGCCTTTACGATGATTCTTACCAACAGTTTCCACCGCCACCTTTTGTAGACACACGGGGGAAACATCACTTTAGGGGTTGTCTCCAGATACTTGAACTTGTCCTAAACAGTTGTACCTACTATACGGGATCTCCATGTTGCTTAGAGGCATTTATTATCATGCTATTACAGACCAGCACCTTACTTCTATAACCAATGCCATGCATAAGCTAGAAAGACACTTAAAGCTGGATGGTTTTCTGAGACGATACACCACGGAAGAGTAGTCCCTAGTGCAACATACCTGGAACTGATCACCAATTACAATTTTGTATATGAAGTTCACAGGGGGTTGAACAACATCTGTTAGGTGATTATCCACCAAGTATCTGACGCGAAGGAATATTAGCCGGATATCGTTGAATCGGATATTGATCTCTATCTAATCGTTAACGGGTAATGCTTACCCGCATTCATGCATCCTTCTCCACCTGAGAGGTGTAAGTGAGACCGGATAATGCTTACCCTTTACTGTTCCTGGATAGTATATAGGATAGCATAATTTAGTTCCCATAACTTATAGCCTTGGAATCTGCCAAATTCAATGAAGTACCCTCTCTCAGGTTGTTCACACAACAAATCTATATGGCAGTATGGGTAGAACTATCAGGGTAGCAGCTGTGCAAGCAGAACCTGTATGGAACAATTTGCAAGGCGCAGTGGGGAAAACGATCTCGATTATCCAGTGTGCTGCGAATGAAGGAGCCAACGTTATCGGCTTCCCAGAGGTATGGATCCCCGGGTTTCCATGGTAAGTCAATACCGCACAATTAGCTCCAGTTACAGGATAGATCCTAAGCCAGCTCAGGAGTATATGGTCTCGTGGTGCTGTGGAAAACACTCCATATATGAATGAGTACTTCAAAAATTCGCTGGAGAGGGAATCGCCAGAGATGGATCAAATTCGGTCTGCAGTAAAGGATGCTGGGATGTTCTGCGTTCTGGGGTATTCAGAGCGTTATAGGGGCAGCCTCTACATGGCTCAGGTACGCCATTTTCCAATTCCACGCCACATTTCCCCCTATCTTACAGTGAGAAGTCCTTCATTGATGAGAATGGCGATATTGTTCATCACCGTCGGAAGATGAAACCCACCCATATCGAGCGCGGCTACTGGGGCGATGGTCAAGGAGCGTCGATACAACCTGTAGCGAAGACGTCTTTTGGAAACATTGGAGCCCTCAACTGTTGGGAACACCTCCAGCCCCTACTTAAATATTTCGAATATTCTCAAGATGTCGAGATACACATTGCCAGCTGGCCTCCAATATGGGATATAAAGGAAGGGATCGAGTGGGCGGACCATATGACAGCAGAAATGAGTACAAAGATTTGTCAAACTATGGCCGTCGAGGGTACTTGCTTTGTGTTGGTTTGTACGCAGGTGATGAGCGAGGAAAGCAGAAAGATTAACAATTTGGAGGACTTCAAGTTTGCTCAATGTCCGGGCGGTGGGTTCAGCATGATATTCGACGCCTTTGGGAAGCCTCTAGTGAAGGCACTTCCACCTGGGGAGGAAGGCATACTCTACGCCGATGTTGATTTAGACCTAAAGAGACAGGCTCAGCAGAGTTTAGATGTTATCGGCCATTACTCAAGGCCGGACCTACTGAGTCTGAATGTGACAGCTACAGAAGCTGAGCCGATAGTTTTGTTAAAGGAAAACGAGCCCAGGCATTGATAGCCATCTATTTGCCATCGCATCTCTCTCGGGCAGCACATCGGTGGGCATAATTCAATCAACCTGGTTGTTTCGGAAGGCCTCTATGATGACGGGAGTGCATCACAGTTGTCTACCGTTACAGAAGAGTATCTCGAAGCTCCTCGTCAATAGCGCGGTGCTCTATTCGCTACGTCCAAGCGAGCATTTTTTACCCTAGGGAGTTCCCGGGTTTGCAGTGTCTTGAATGCTGTCGAGAATATTCTAGCTCTTTCAAAGCTTCTTGGTTACACCTAGATTCTAGGTCACGTTTATGATCGTGCTGGCAGAATGCATGGGTTGGGAAGGGCTCTAGAAAGAAAATAGTATCTAGTGCATGTCAGTATAGTGTAGGGTGTGAGGGGTGTTGTGGTGGTTTATACTGAAGTCGGATTCCCGGATGAGGGTTATTATAGAGGGGTGGAGGGGAATGGGGCAGAACAGTCTCTTGCCCAAACTCCTCAAGATGTAGGGCCCATGAATAAACATTGGTAGGCAGAATAAACGAGTCATCCGGAAGAGCAAAAAAGAAGAAGAGCAGGAAGTTCATTTCACCACTAATCAAGAGAAGCCAGGAATCGCCTTCCTATTTGAGTCTAGGCTGGCAATATAAGGTGGCAATGAACAGGCTGACATGATTGTTGGAATTGGTAATGTCCGGCGATAAAAGTATAGCTTAAATAGAGGTTTTTGTAAAATAAATCCAGGGAAATTGTATCTTCTAGATTACTATATTTATCACGCATTCAGCGCCAGAAACTTCTACCCTGTAAGGTCTAGGCGACTGGGTTACTGTTGCTCGACTTAACCCACTACTCTTCAATAAACGGACAAATCAAGAAGATCAGTGGCCATTGTGGGTTCGGCAAGCAGTGGCCCACTACAGTCGCTGATCCCTGGGGCCAATGGTTTAGTGGATGTCTTGGACTCCTTCAACCAACGTCTTTCGATCCCTCGGACGGGGTCTGTGATCTGCAGGCTGTCGAAGGTAATCGCCACGCGGAGGTCAGCTCGATCGACATAGTGTCAGACCAGATCTCGACGTTGCGAATTGTCTTTCACCGTGTAAAACAAGAGAGTGTGCCGTGGTAGAAAAGGAATAGCTCAGATGAAGTGAGACTGGGCCTGGACCACATAGTCATTGCCGATTCTAGCACTTATAATAAAGAAGATAAAATTTAACGTTCATAATTTAATCTAAGAAAGGCAGGGATAAAGGAAGTAAAATAAGTGTCCTCAAACCCTTACTACTACGCGAAGGCCTAAGGCAAATCTGCCGGTACTAAGCATCTAGAGGAATTTGCTCGAAGACCTGCCAAAAGTACAGATTACTGGACCACCATCACGCAGCATACCATCAAAGGATCTAAGACTAGTGGCTGCAAGGAACATGCACCCTCTCGCACTGCCTCCCAGAATCGCAATAATAAGCGACTCGTCGGGAGATTGCCGAAGGACAGACAGGGCTCCGGGCCGCTCGTGGGGGCCATTTGGAGTGTCTATAACGTGGCACTCCTGGAGGCTTGGGTACCTTTTGTTTAACAGGTCAGGTGTATCCTTGAGACGAGCTTAATTGCCCGGGCACGCTTGCGAAAGATTAGTGCTGACTCAAAACGTTGAATTGGCTTGGATCATTCTACCCGAGCAGATGGGATGGTATATGTTCAATTAAGTGGGTCGACGAGGTCCACGTGCATCTTACAGTAGTAGTACTTCTTATCCCCGGCCAACAAATGCTCGACCGGTGCAGTAACCTGCTCGTTTAAATTGCCAACACCAGATATTGCTCACTGCATGAGCTGGCCTCCCCATGATCTTGGCAATAGGTTTATGAGTGGCTGATAAGAACCACACACATGGGAGTTAGTGATGCACCGGCGGCTCGGTTCCGTCCTTATATTGGGGCAAGATATAGCTTCCTCATGGCCGTCCACTTAAATGGCGCCCTGCACTTCCGTTCTGGGAAAATGGTCTCACGGTTAAAAATGATGGGCTGTTCGGTGGGGCACCCCCTTCCTACCGAAAGAAATTAACTCCAGATTTGATATCTGTCAGACAGCGAAAATTATTCAGAGACAGGCAAGTGGAGTTCTAGTCTAATTTTAGGGTTAGGTCAATCACTGGTATCGCCTTATCTGATCTAGCGAACGTTCCGACGAATCAGCGTCTAGCAAGTCACTCCCAGATTAGGGCTAGCTCTTAGGCCTACATGGACCGGACTGCTTTGGATCCCCAAAGTCTGCCAATCAACCCGGTCCCGACGAGAGGCGGCTGCTGGGATAGCTTGACGCAACGGTGGTGAGGCTTTTCCCATCCCATTCTCGTGGCCCCGAAGGGTCTTCACATGGTGGTGTATATAATGTGAAGCTTCCCCGTTAACGCGGGGGATCTCGGCATCTCACTTCTCCGATCAGTTGTCTTAAAGTGTGTTCTTTCTTCAGTATGGATTCTTCCACAGCCCCCACGGCAGATCTGCGTCCGAGGCAAGCGACAGAATCGGATTATGATGCGGAGATCGGGGTGTTGCAGTGGGATGAGCCCTTGTCACACCAGCATCATCACCGTGACTCCAATTATCACCCACATTCCATGTTGACGGAGGATATGCGATATATCCCGGCCATGGTCACTGGAAACACATCCGCGCTTCTGCATTCAATACCGATTTCCCCATCCTCAAGCCTTTCACCACCGGAAGCGACTGCCTGTATCGCCATGAATCCACTGGACTCTGCAATGATGGGTACCGTAGGCATCGACTCACAGCATCTCGATCATAGCGGGCATCGAATATCTAATGTGAGTGACAGAGTGGCCAAAGTTCCACTATCCGAAACTAAACTAGCTCTTCAGCAAAGGCGCTAACGTCGACGTCATAGACTATTAACCGACGACAATCCCAAAATCGCGAAGCCCAGCGTCGATTCCGGGAACGGCGGGAGCAGGAGAGAGTTCAAACGCAAGTCAAGATGGATGTACTGCGAACAGAAAACAAACGGTTGTCAGATTTGTTCCACCTGTTAAGGACGGAGAACCATAGGATAGAGGGGGAGAATGAGCGATTGAAGACGGAACTAGGTATAATGAGGAAACGGTGGAAGGATGTGCTGCGTGTAATGTCGGAGATGGCGCAGCATGATGAGCGGACTGCGGGTTGTCGGTCATCATCTTCGACCGCCAGCCCTTCTTCTTCTCCCACATCACCCTCTGGCCCTTGCTCTCAGGTAGACATGCAGAGCCTCAGGCGTTCGATCGTGATGCAGACTCTGGTAGCACTGTTTGAGGAGAGAGGATCAGACTCAACGCGTTCTGTCGCGGTTAAAGACGGCTCCGAGAGCCCCTGAAATACTAATGCATATTAATTGTCGCCATGATGACCAAGATGAAGAAGGAATCGAGCTTTAGAATGATGGATTCTGGTGGCTGCAAGGTCCTTGTGGTTAATATAAGAGTGACTGAATTCAACTTATCCCGGCTTCTCCACCATTTGGTGAATTCTTACAGCTCAATTGCCATCTGCCGAGACACGGTAGTACGTAAATAAATCGGAAAATAATCGGGGCAACCAGAGAATGGATCGTATTCAGTTGGATACTCAAATTACTCCGTATATCCGAGCCTCGAGGGCCAGCATCAAATATAGGCTAGACCCAAAGTGGAAGTGTGTTCCTCGGCTCCTATTGGACCGTATTTCATCTGGGTTGGCTAACGTGAAGCTAAGACAACTTGGACTTGTCGTTTCAGCGCCGCCATCAGCGTCGGTTACAGGTTCGGCACAGAGGACTGGTATACATACGGCGGAGATCAACACCTGGGGATTAGTGGAGCTCAGAGATAGTGTCGAATATGGGCAGCAAACCACAAGAATTCGTCTTCGTTGATGGCCCTGCGTTGGCTAGCGGTTCCAACGCACATTCGCGGAAAATTAGGTCAGCTCTGATAAAACGACGTATCTCTGAAAAGCAAACAAACTATCGCCGTGAGGAAGCCGCCAGGAGGGAGAAGTTGATTGGCCAGAGAAAGGTACAGGGAGAACATCATCACCCTGCAGTGGAGGAGCTTTGCTCCTGTCGTAGAAAACCCCAGGGCTCTGGTTCCGATCAAACTCAAATGAGCCACCATAGTAGTCCAACATTCCTCGTCACTAGCGATGGAGCTACAGTTTGTGGGACCTGCAGTAGACCGATGTCCCTCAACGGTTTGAGGACCAACCAGAAGACCGAAGAGACCCCCTCGGCCTTCCCAGCTGTGAGTGGAAGGATGGACCCATTCTCCCCACTAGATGCGAGCTGGGGACCGCAAGTTGACAGCCTAGTGCATTTCGGTTAGTGGCTTGGAAATGTTTATTACGCTTTGCTATTGCACCGGCCACCTGCGATTATTCCTGCTGACTGACCTTACACGTAGCTTTGACCTTCATCTGGCCGGCATTTCGGCAATCGAACTATACCGGGAGTTGTTATCAGGCTTGGATTCGGCAATCGTCTCGGAATAAGCTCTTAATTTATAGCACCTTGTGGGCCGCGTCCTATCACAGAGATGTATTACGGATTAGCTACGGTGCCCCTGACCCGCCGTTAGAGACCAAAGTGCAACTGTACTACAAAGGCCATGTCTTGAGCACTCTGCACAGCCATGTGGCTGACTACACAGACGAGACGTGGCGTGACGGCGTCATCATGTCTGTCCTATACCTTGCTGTTAATGAGCACGTTAAAGAAAAGGTAGCGCGAGACGCGAGTCCATTCACGCCTCCTTTTGTGGAGTTACAGTCCCTGTCTTTTTATGGTAGCAGGGAGTATCATAGCATGCACTGGACATTCATCCAGACCCTCCTACATCGTCTTGGAGGGATCCACTCCATCAAGCTATTCGGACTAGGCTGGCTGCTGTCAATGTAGGTGCTCTGTTTACCTCGGCTCTTTCCAAGCTATGTTCTTCGCAAATAGCTGATCTTGAATTTTGCAGTGCAGAACTAATGTTCTCTGTCCACTCCTTGACAAAGCCTCAATATCCCTTGATAGACGTACAGGGAAATGTGTACAATCTGTCTTCGCCGTTACATGCCTTTCAAATTTCACCAGAACGGACGTCTCTTCCTGGATCGGGATTCCGAGAGCTTTTATCGCTTGCGCCACCCGTGAAAGAAAAGATCGCAAACGTATTCGCTCACCTGAGTGAATATTCGAATATAATACAATTATTTTTCGATCACGACCTGGATGCTTCAACCCTCGACCTAATTGCAGACATTCGGAACCAAGTGCATCATGATTTGTTAAACCTACCAGACGAGCATGACCCACCTGATTGCGCTATCGAACAACCGAATGACCCTGGCGATATCTCTCTGTCTCTCGAGCTCTATCACACTTGCAGGCTCTCTGCCCTGCTATACGCGCTCCATGTCACATTTCCGGTTCCGAAGTCTTCTTTATCCCGAGCCATTATTGTCCCGCAGCTCACTGAGAAACTTCATCATGTTAGTCAGAATATGTCTAGTACGCTGCTTCTATGGTGTACCATAGTGGCTGCTATTGCGGCAGAGGAAATGATTCAACGCCAAACCCTAGTCCAACTGGCCCACAAAATCCGTCTAGACTTGCAGATATATGAGCTGACTCACGCTGTTGAAGTACTCCATTCCTTTGCCTGGGCGGATGTCGCGTGTTTGGACGGACTCTATAGGCTTTGGGGCGAAATCGTCCGGCTTGGTTGAAGAGCTCTCCTGCAATTATCAGTATGATTACTGCATCTGGATCAACCAACAGCTCCTCGCTATGGCATTGTCAGAGATGTGGTATTCCTTCATCACAAACAAGCACTCCCGTGAGACAACATGGTTATACCATCTAACCCAGTCTACTCAGCTAATAATAGCGGGCACAACGGGTACAACGGGGGGAGACCTAAGCACATTTCTTTTATTGGGAAGTAATACACGATCAGGACAGACCCTAACCAGTTTTGTACTGGGAGAAGGTGCTGTACCCTTTGTCACCACTATCCACACTATCCACATACTTAGTATAGTGGACGAGGGCGGTGCGAAAAAGTTGCAGTAGTTGCATCGTCGCATACTTCAGAGGCCGAATACAGAATCAGAGATTATTACGGATATCATGCACATTTCATACAATTGAGGGTATCTGTGACATTACTCTATGCAGCCCTCATACGAGTTCGGCCCTCCACAGCTGCTGTGTCTGCTGGTCTAAGTTGAGCTTGGTCCGAGATGCTTGGTACAGCGTCAGTCCTTGTATATACCGACAAATACCTTTTAACATCAATACCAACTATGACTACTTGAATATTCATCTACTCCGCAGGGCTGTCAGGTATATTTTAGTCAGGGTTTCCGTTTAATCATACCCTGTTCTTTTGTTCAATTTCGGTGAGGTAGGAAGAGGCTGCATATGCAACCACCTGCATTGGGCCCAGTTCTCCCCGATAGCAATAAAAGGATTCCACGTCATGCAAGATAATCGGAGAGTTACTGTGGCCCTTGCCATGCAGCTCTTCGCATCCAATCAACCAAAGTACTGGCCTCAACGCCAAGATCTTCATATGATCTATCCTCACTGCGATCCATTGTTCCATAACAAATCTTGTCATCTGGTGCCACAGCGATCCATTCCATCATCTGTCTTATATCTTCTTCATATCCTTTGCCGACAGTCGCCGCTACAGTGGTACCCCATTGATCTAGTGTTATAGGATCGAATACAGCTTCCTGCGAAGTGATCTCTCTGAACACTTTCGCAAAGTCAGCAAATGAAAGTTTCGGACCAACAACGGGATACGTTTTTGATGCTGTTTTCTCGGGACCCAGGCAAAATATCTCTGTCATTTTATTAGCCAAGGTTATTGTCTTTGGTGAGCGATGGGATCGTCGCACCTGCAGCATATACGCCAATATCGTAACTTGGATCGACCCAATCAGCCAATTTGTTCCCATCTATTGGGGCGCAAAATCGAACTATCCCATCATCTATAATATTTGTCCGTTAGCTTCGTTTCCATATTGTGTGGAGGAAGACGCTGCGTTGAGACCCACCTTGACACTGGCAATATTGGGACCATTGCATGTTTGTGTAGAACAGACCTAACAAAGTCAGCATTCGCACCACTTGTTTGTATGTCTACGAGCTTACCAGGATGTAAAGCCGTCACGGCGGGGAGCTCATCCTGGGCCCACTGCTCAATCTTATGTTTGTTGTCGAAATGGAAGACCTTAGTAAAGCGGCCTTTACTCGCGTTCGTTATGTTGGGCAAACTGCTCATTACGAGGTGCTGCACACTGCAAGCCTTATACATTCATGACACACCTTAGCTTCGCATTCTTCTGGCTATTATTCATTGCGCTCAGGCCTTGAAGTAGATATACAGGTATTTAACCTACCTTCGCCGCATCGATAATATTCCTCCCAGCCACCAGTTCATGATCCATATCCCGCTCGGTTTCGATCTTCTTCCCGGGGATCCGGTTATTCGTCACAGCAAACACCCCATAGGCATTTTTGAACGCTTCAATGAGGGATCGTTTGTCGTAAACATCGGCCGCGACCAGCTCGAGTCTACCACTGTCTTTGTACTTTGCCTGAAGCCCCTGTGCCGCCGGGGAAGAAACATCGCGAGTGATGCCACGAACATGGAATGATGGCTCGGTCTTTGCGAGAAGTGCACGCACAACACCACCCCCTTGATTCCCTGTTGCGCCGAGGACAGCGATATACTTGGTTTCTTCTTGGTCGCTGGTCATGTTGGTATGTTTTACGTAGGACCGATGTGCAAGATGGCGTTGCTGTGAAAACGGGTAGTACAATAGCGAATACACTGTTCCAAATGGCGAGTCTGCGAATGGCACTTCTTCGAAAGACTGCAAGGCTGCTATAGATGGTCTGGGCCTACGAAGGTCTCTGCGGGGTCAAGTGCTTTTTATATGGCCCCATGCATTAGATTCTGGGGTAATGCATGGTTTAGGTTGCCCTCTTTGCCGTATTTCCGTTGATATGAAAATGGCCCCACCGAGATCGAGGGGAGATTCTTTTCCCGGCTGTGAAGCCCCTTCGGTCACTGGCTAAGTGTCTAGCCCACGCAATGCAATGCTACTACTAAGTGATCTACATTACTCAGATTCCAGTGAGTTATGTTATGTGTCCGTTGAAAAGGGTATAACTTTCTACAAAACAAAGATCAGATCTGGGCTATGCGGAATTACGAGATTTTAGACCACAAAAAAGTACAGGAATGGTAGATTAATAGATCTTCTCGCTATTTCCCCATATCGAAACGGTTGCAATAAGGTTATAATGCCTAAATTGTGAGAGGTATGGCACTAAATATTTTAAGAAAAGCATATTGTTTGCGGGAGTATCCGAGATTATAGATATAGTTCTAGTACCGTACTGGACTAATATGACTCTGCGTAGGAGTTTGAGTATCTTTTCCTTGGCTTCCCTTGGCCTGTGGCTCGTATTGTACGTTTACGCAACCCGACTGGTATAACTCTCAGCACAAGTTCCCTCTTCTTGAAAGTCGGACGTGGATCTGTGACATAGAGACTTCATACAAAACATACATTCACCTCAGATATGATTCAATCGACTAATGGATCAATGAGATCACCTAACAAGCAATCCATGAGTTATATATGAACTCTATCCTCTCGATTTGCTGCTTATGTGAGGGCCAACCCCGGATCCTCCGGAAAGGAGCGACGTGACTAATAATCTCGCTAGTTAGTTAGTTAACTAGTTAACTTACTTAGCTATAAGCCCAGGGGAATGGCGTGACTGGGTCTGCTGACATGCTCGCCATTCCTCCTCGATCAAGGCGTTATCTTAATTTGGCAATGCAATTGATACTCTATTCGTTCTGCTGGGCTATTTCCAAATGCACATTCCTGAACTGGATGCCAAAACAAATAACTGTCGGTTAGTTTTCCTGTGCACGTCCTCAACGTGGATGTATAAGTATTAGATCCAATTACTTTCCAGATTGCCTACATCAATTCTCAAGCAGATGAGGTAAAATAGGGCGGGCACCTAAATCTTTTAAATTGACCATATTATCGTTCGTTCCACGGACCACCGGCTATGGAACGTCACCATAATCAACATTTGATTAAGTCTAGTAAGCATAACCACATAGACTGTCTATATAGGCCAATTCAGAAGAGGACGCAGATGTGCATGAGCGGGGCGCACTGGATATCGCGGCAGCTGTTGGTCTTGTCCTTGGCAGTGCAACTCGTGTGGCCCTTGCGGGGCAGAATCTTCCGGTCTGTGCCAACCTGAAATGAGAAAAGATGATGAGAGAAAGAGTAGGGATAAGCAAGAGCAAAGCAAGTGAGGTACAATTTAACCTAATTCAAATACAGAGTAAAATTAATCCCTCAGGTGGGAAGGGATGTGGATGTAAAACCTCTGCTAGGGATAAGTGTCCCCGTGCCCGTATCGTGACGTTCCAAGCCCTAGGTGACGATACAACCTCGAGGTTTTCTGGAACCATCTAGTATCCGCATCTCACATACCTTATCGTCGCTTTGTTTCCCCGGAAATTACTCTTGGTAGAATAGGATTTGCCTTGACGGATCCCCATCTCTAGAGAAAGCTTGGATTGAGATGAATCTGTTCGACCAGTCGGACCATCACTGCAAGGGGAAAGTTCATAAACCTTGAAATGACGGTGTGGGCCCCGAAAATGCTGTCGATCCGGACGACCCGCCGCATCAAGCATCCAGTCACAGCCCGGCCTAGCCTCTTTTCCATCCACATTGGGACAATGCTGCAGGGAACATGCTTCGGGAGTGTTGTTGATCCACTCAGCTCTCTTGAACTGGACTGCAAGTGACCTGCACACACCACACATGGCTGAACGAACTGCATCGCCATGTATTCAGGATCGGCCGTGTTTGCAGCCGCTGGCCTCAGCTGAAAGCGATCTCCCTACTAGTCCGGAGTACTACATATTACTCATAGGTTCAGAGCATGGTGGGTCTCGGAGTTGACTAATGAGAATTGATTACTTGCTGGCTACTATTGGTGCTCTCCACCGATACGATAAAAGAATTTATGTTCTCCGCATGGCCTTTTTCATTCCCTTCCTTCGCCAACTGTTTGCTTCGGGGTAGTGCTCTACGGCTTCTTGTATAGTCGAGATTACACCATGCAGTTCACCACCTCTCGAGGGTCTGTATGGGGCCACAAATGGCGGTCTTCGCCATTCTTCATTGTCAGCGCCATGGCAATGGCGCTGTTCACTGGTACTGATCGCTTTGGTCCCCGCGCGTCGACAGAACTCAGATGTTGCTAACAAACCCATTCCACTAGATGTCTTCCTGTATACCTTCATCGTACCGATCCTCCCTTACATCCTGGAAAACCGTCTCGGTCTCGATGTGTCCCTGACCCAGCGCATGAGTTTTGCATTGCTGGCGTTAAGTGCGGTGGCATCACTCGTCTGCAGCCCTTTCATTGGCCACTATGCAGATAAGATGTCTTCGAAGAAGATCTTGCTGCTCGGCTCCTTGGCTGCTGCATTATTCTCTACAGTTATTTTGGCTATAGCGACTTCAAGTACGTGCGGTTCCTGTGGCGCAAACAAGCAAGCACTCGTCTCGTCTGGTTGCAAAGTAATGTCTGACGGTTGCAATAATAGCTTTCACCCTGTTCTTCGGTCGTTTCATACAAGCAATTGCGAGTGCGTTCATCTGGA